CGGATGGACCAACCACCCCCGGAGGAAAAGCCCCCCCCAAAAAAAAAAAAAAAAAAAAAAAAAAGAAGCTCATATCCTAGAGAAAGAGGTAAGTGGGGGACTGACAATAACGCGTCACCTGCAGGTGTAAGTGTACATGGTGCAAGCTTTGAGGAGGACTTGGCAGTGAGAATGCGCTCCTCGTCCATCCCGCTACGTCCGCAGCTTTGAATTCAGCAAATGAGCTGAAACAGACGAGGGGCACGCACTTCTTACAGTGTGGTTTACCATCTATAATAATGGAAGATGTTTCTTTTTTTTTAATGAAGAATGATTTTATTCAACTTTATTTATTTTATATTGACAGAGAAGGACAGAGTGAAACAGAGAGGTTTCACTGCTGTGTAATATTTCATTTGGTAAATGCACTACAATTGATTTCCTACTCTCCTATCAATGCACTTTGAAGTTTGCTCTAATTTTTGTTTAATAGCCAGAAGGCACATGGGCTCCCCAGAGAGAGAGAAGGAGAGAGAGAAAGCACCCCACTATGGGACATTGTCGTGCCATAATCTCGTCTCCTCCATTCTCCATCCTGTCAGAAATCTGCACACACACACACACGCCCAGCATGTTTTTCTGCCAAGGCTGTCATTCAAACTGTGGTCATCCATGTGGGACCCAGCTCCCTTAACTGTTAGGCCACGGAGCCAGCTCATGTTCCAGTCTTTAAAAATAACTTTCCCTTTCTCCACGTTACAGTGCATGCACACACACATGAGCGTGAGAGAGTGAGCAGCGTCCATAGGGTCTGGTCATGCTACAAGCCCCTTCCTCCAGCCCTCCAGCCCTCTGTCTGATCTTGGGCACTCATGTGTGTGCACGGCGTGTGTGGGGCTGACCACACTTGGGATTTGAACCGAGGTCACCATGTGGGATGCAGCTTCTCTTAAGCAGTGCATTGCTGCTGGGCCATGGAGCCTTATTGCAATGTATTTTCCTGCTATTACTAATAACACCAAGTGAGGGTCTCCACCCAGTTCCTTGCAGTCATATGAGAAGGTCTCTTCAGAATAATTACCTAGGGACCAGCAGATGGTGTAATGCTTACGTCACTGGATTCCCACATGGCTGACAGTGGTTCAAATCCCA